GTGGTACATCAGTCGTGTTGTTGTCATAACTCGGCCAAACCACGAATTCATCTGTGGCACATCAGCCGTGTTGTTGTCATAACTCGGCCAAACCACGAATTATTATGTGTTAAATTCGTGATTTGATTTAATCTGAAATTAAATAACGTTTATAAGATGTATTTAACTTCTTCTATTCACTCATCTTTTAATGATCATAAAATTAGCTCATGTTTGTACCCTAAACCCTAAACCAACACCATCTAAACCCTAAACACATCGAGGCCATACTTAACTTCCATTCCTAGAAAGTCGATCTATATAGAATGTGAATGGGCTGAAAGTGTGAAATTTTTATTGTGATTTAATGTTATAAATCTGGACATTATTAGAACCAGACATAATGTTAATATACAAATGGCCCTCTAAATAAAATGATTTTTCTCATAACTCGGCCGTAAGTAGTAAATACCTCAGCCGTAACGTATTTGAATTATTTTGAATATTTTTTTAATTGTTTTAGTTATCATAATAATTTTTTTTTGTATTATTTTCAATTATTATGTATTAATTTATGACATTAAAACTCGTGTGCGTGTGAATATGTCAGCAATTATTGTTGGCGGCGTTTCCCCAAAAAACACTTTCTGTAATCTCGAGACTGTATATAATAAATTAATATCTGAGTAACTCAGCCGTAAAACGTTATAATAACTCAGCCAATTCTCGTTTTAATCTTCAATATACAGGACTGGCTTGAACGACGTCGTTTGATCAGTGCTTTAGTAGACACGACTATATTGATTTAGTGATTTATTTATTTTTTTAGTAATCAAAGAGAAGATGATGACGCAAAGATCTCTACTGGGCGGCGACTCTAGGGTTGATGAGAAAACTGCTTCTAAAGGAAATGAGGTATTTTTTTCCCAATCGTCTGAGACGAACAAATCTTTAGACATCTTTATATTGTCTGTCGTGTTTGTGGTAATGTAGGAGCTGGATCGTATGGAAATAAGGATGAGAATGAGGTACGGCGAAAACCGGAGGCACGATAAGGGCGTTCCGATCGCGTGTGATTGCAGTGCAGCGGTTCTCGTTGCCACTTCTCGTGATCCTAATACAAGAGGAAAACTTTATTTCAGTTGTCCGTATGAAATCTCAGACGTAGGCATCTTTTAAGATTTATTGGGTCTTGATTTTGAGTTCTGATTCCTTTTTTTTTTTTTTTAATTTTGGGGTGTAATATGGGTTATGTATGATTTTTAAGGGTCCTGGTCGTGGCTGCGGTTTCATGAGGTGGTGGACTGTCGCATTGTGTGACGAATTTGAGAAGATAAAGGAGGAGAAGAATGAGATGAAGCAGGATTTGGATGCAGCCAAGAAGCGCATCGAGGCTCAGGAAGAAAAGATCTTTCTTATGGAAGAGAAATTTGAAGCGCTAGAGAAGAAGTATCAGAGCTTGAACAAGTATCTGTGAGCTTAGATAAATTCGGTTTTTTATATGTATGTCGCTACCATAACTCGGCCAAACCATCAATTATTATGTGATAACTCAGTCGTGTCGTTGTCATAACTCGGCCAAACCACAAATTATTTTGTGTTAAGTCATCATCTTTTTATATTCACTTTCCAAATAATGATCATAAAATTAGCTCATCCAACAAACCGATAAATCAGCCGTAATAAAATGATTTCGAAACCTTTAAATAAAATGATTTTTCTCATAATTCGGCCGTTAGTAGTAAATAACTCAGCCGTAACGTATTAGAATTATTTTTAAGAGCAATACAGGAAGAGCAATATAGCACGAAATTAAATTGCACATAAAATAGAGTTTTCATTCACATGTAATAAGTAAACCTTATTACATATGAACACATCCAAACAAAAGTAACAATTGTTTCAACTTGCAAAAAAACAAACAGAGTTCAATCCTAAACATTAAGACAGAATAAGAGAAGTTGCAGTTATAGGTGAAAACTTCTATATTAAGTGATGATTACTTATTGACTGACATTAGCATTGTGTCGATAAATAATATAGACATCTCGGCCAAACCACGAATTCATCTGTGGTACATCAGCCATGTCACGTTTGAGTCTTAAAAAACGCGAAAACTTCTATAAATGATGATTACTTATTTACTGACATTAGCATTGAACTTGGAAAAGCAATTATCACAATGATTTGATATATTTACAGTTTCCAACACATATCTCAAGTTAAAGATTTATAAAATCTTAACAGTATATTCCTTGTACTGTGATATCCTCTGTGAACTTCCGTGTAATGAACTTCTATTATCATCTTTCCTTATGACTTTTATTTTCACTTGATTTACCCGTGATTTCCATTATAAAACATCCGTAACTTGACCTTAACTCAGTTATGATTATAGTGAAAATCACGAATTATATCTATGTTAAGTCAGCCATGACACTGTCATAACTCGGCCAAACTACGAATTAATCTGTGTTTCATGATCATTATGATACAGTCATGTAATTTACTCAGATTAATGAGATGTAATTAACTTTTTATATCCACTTTCCAAATAATGATCATGAAATAAGCCCATTGTTAAATTTTATTATAAATCAGCTATAACTTGACCTTAACTCAGTTATGATTATAGTGAAAATCACGAATTATATCTACGTTAAGTCAGCCATGACTCTGTCATAACTCGGCCAAACCACGAATTAATCTGTGTTTCATGATCATTATGATACAGTCATGTAATTTACTCAGATTAGTAAGATGTAATTAACTTTTTATATCCACTTTCCAAATAATGATCATGAAATAAGCCCATTGTTAAATTTTATTATAACTCAGCCGTAACTTGACCTTAACTCAGTTATGATTATAGTGAAAATCACGAATTATATCTACGTTAAGTCAGCCATGACACTGTCATAACTCGGCCAAACCACGAATTAATCTGTGTTTCATGATTATTATGATACAGTCATGTAATTTACTCAGATTAATGAGATGTAATTAACTTTTTATATTCACTTTCCAAATAATGATCATGAAATAAGCTCATGTTTGCACATATTAAAACTCATCCAATAAACCGATATACCAAACTCAAAAATTTGAATTATTTTGAATACTTTCTCAAAAATGTTGTCATTTATGACTGATTCGACGACTTGCCGTCTGCGGGTGAATATGTCAGTAATTATTAATGGCGTCTCCTGAAAAACCACTTTATGTAATCTCAAAAATTAATATGTATAAATTAATGGGATGTTCGTAAGACAGCTGTAACTCAGCCAATACTGGTATGTCTCGAACGACGTAGTTTTATTAGTATACATGACTATATTGATTTAGTGAGTTTCCGAACACCTAGAGTCATCAATTAGACATTTATCCCAAAATAAACAATTAGGGTTCTTCGTCTGTCTCCGAATAACGAGAGAAGATGGAAGTAAGCTCTGGATCGACGAGTAGCTTTGGGAGTAATTCTGGAATTCGGAAACTGTGTGAATGTGGATTGCCGGCAAAGGTCTTCAAATCCAAAACGGATAAAAATCCAAATCAAAGGTTCTTTCGGTGTCAGTTGTACAAGGAAGGTGGTAATGCTCACTACAAATTCTTTAGGTGGCTCGACGAGGAGGTCATAGGGTGGCCGAAAAGGGCTTTGGCAGAAGCTCAATCTGTAATTAAAGAGAAGACTGAGGAGATTGAAGAACTTAATGAGACAATTTTGGAGCTTCGTGGTGATTTGGAGAGGCAAAACTTGGAGATATCATCAATTAATACAAAAGATGAGAAGATTTCGATTAAGCTTGGATTACAGAAAAGGATTGACGAAATGGAAACAATAGTTTATCGTCAACGCATCGTCATCAGGGGATTGACAGGATTGCTTGTATGTGTCGTATCAGCCATTGTCTTTTGTATTGTTAGTGATGTTTGAATTTTATTTGGCTTGTTAGTAATGCTTTTTGTTAGTGTTGTTTGAATTTTGCCAAATGACCAATAATAACTCAGCCGAGTAAACGTAAATAACTCAGCCGTACAAAAGTAATTTACTCAGCCGTTAAATGTATAAAAACTCAGCCGTGACATCAAAAATTACTCATAAGTCCGCCGTTTCGCTGGAATAACTCAGCTAAAAGTAAATAACTCAGCCGTTAAATGTATAAAAACTCAGCCGTGACATCAAAAATTACTCATAAGTCCGCCGTGTCGCTGGAATAACTCGGCTAAACCACGAATTCATCTGTGTTAAGTCAGCCATATCGCTAGAATAACTTGACATAAATTCAGTAACATAGATTCATTAACATATCAATAACATAGATTCAAAAAAAAAAAAAAAACAAATAGAATGGATATCTCCATTCTTAGTCTGATTCCGACCCCGACAACTCGGTCGGCTTAAACCCCAGTTTGTCCCAGTTGATCCCCATCACGTTGAATGCCACCTTCTCCTCGTAAGCCTTCCTTGCCTGCTCCTTCACGATCTGGAACTCCTCCTCCACGTTAAATCCGTCCTTCAAACTCATCATCTTCCTAAGGAGATCCAGTTTCGGATCCTCCTCACGCAGCGTGCGCTTCCTCCGTCTCTTTCATGTTGTGTTTGATGAGAGAGATGATGCCTTTGAAACGTTCTTTCTGCTCTTGCATCTCCACTGCATGCCTCCTGCTGCGGGAACCGTCTTCAACACGCGTCCTCTTGCTGCTAGACCCTGATGCATCCATGATCGACAAGAGGAAAGACAAGAGAGATTATATAGATTAGTTGCTAATAATCAAGAAGAGAAAAGACGAGAGAGAATTGTTTGACAAGAGTTATATTTAGAAGAGATATATATAGGGAAAATAGGTATAAGGTTATCTAGGTATAATGATAACTTGAGTGGGTAGTTATTCGAGGTGGGGAGTTATCCGAGGTGGGGAGTTATACAACATTTGTATAACTCGACAATAATAAACTCCTAATAAACCATAACTCAGCCGTGTTGTTAGATTATCTCACCCAAACAACGAATTAATAAACATCAATCCAGACGCATCACACAAACCTAAAGCATTATCAACCCCATACATAATCATCACGAGAACTTAAAAGCATAAATAGTTAGTACAAAAGACAATCACATGTTCGAAATACTAATATTTTACATATCATCATAATGTATCATTGGACATCAAACGCAGCGAGCAGGTCAGGTCCCCCTTCATAGATCTCTGTTGCCATCTTAACCCGTATAGTCTGAATATTTTCATCACAGATGCCAACGAAACTTACACCAATCGCTAGACATTCGATAAATTTCAACGCGTACACGCCACAGTCTCCAACTTGGACGTTCTGAGGGACCCTCGATTTATTCCTCCTTCTGAATGAAAACTGCTCAGACCTAGGTGAATAGATTTCAGGAGGAATTATTTCATTCATCATCTGAGGAATCATCATCGTAAACGGCCTACAAGCCTCCAGCACAAATAATTCACTTTCCTTGGTATGATGCCCCACGATGCTATCATAGCAATCAATGTGCCCCCTAATCAGGTCCACGTCCAGCGCCACCCAGTGATTGCCTCCGATTTGGTGAACTATATACAAGTGATCCACATCTTCTATCCATTTCATATTTGTCTGCTGATCTTTTGGCTCCAAACCGTGTACCAGCCTCTCGTAAGAGGTGCCTTTGAATTTAAACCTCTCGGGTTTTATCTTGAACTGGTCATACTCTTTACACCAATAGCTCATGAACCACGAGTCTATAAACGCAATGCGTTTGGTGTGGAATGGGAAGGGAACTCGCGTGATGAACCTCTTTCTAAGAACCCTCAAATACGCAGCAATATGCTGCACAAAAAAAAAAAGAAAAGAATAACAACTCAGACAAAACATAACAATAACTCAGACATAATGTAGAAAAACATACCAATAACTCAGCCATAATGTTGAAAAAACACACTAATAACTCAGCCATTATCTAGAAAATCTCAGCCAAAACACACCAATAACTCAGCCACAACACCAACTCTTACAATAACTCAGCCAAAACACACCAATAACTCAGCCACAACACCAACTCTTACAATAACTCAGCCAAAACACACCAATAACTCAGCCAAAACAAACCAATAACTCGGCCAAAACACTTACAATAACTCAGCCATAATGTTATACTTACGTCATCGAAAAGCCATCCATATTTTGGATCTGGCCAGTCCTTTCTTTCGGTGATGAGCATACTGTAGAAATCAACAGTGTCTGTTGCCCTGCCCAATGGGAGATGCCTAACAGATAAACGCAAGTTAATATACATAAATAGTGTAAACAAGCCGTAATTAACAAGGTTAAAAGGTATAGAGGGTCATACTTGAATGGGGCCATCATTTCCTTCAGTTTCTGCAATTTGGCCGGATCAACTGGTGACAGAGGATCATATATTCCAGCTGAAGGCACACAATTCTTCCTCATGCACGTCAGTCCGTTGTCTCCGATATGAGGAAATATCCGTTCAGAGATATTAGAGAGTGGATTCAATGCACTCTCATCCGGAGACAGCTTGACACTCTCCTTCCTTAGAGTGTTGATTCTTTCAATCCTTATATGTTCCTCTTCATCATCTTCAGACTCAGATAACGTGCGTGCGTTACCAGCTATCAACTGGTCTATGACATCATATACCTCATTGTCACCTTTAATGCCAGCCTTTTCCAATACTTCCTCATCTTTGTCGGGGAAATCAGCAGCCTCTTTATTCTCATCAAGAGCAGCTCCTCCCTCCACCGGAGCAGTAGCTAGTTTTCGTACCACCTTTTTAACCGTTGTAGAAGAAGGCTTCCTACCTCTTCTACGTCCGACTGCTGCCTGATCTTTGGGGGCCTTATCTTTGACGGGCTTATCCTTACCGGTATTCTTCTTTCCCGCTGCGATTTTCGCTGTGTCAATTTTCCTGGAGCGTAATTTCCTAATATTATTAGGTAACGTATCTATGAAATCAATACAGATTTGCCATCAATGACATTAGCAAATTCCTTTTCCAGATTCTTACTGACACCAGCAATACCAATATCCTTCTCAACATCGACAATATCCTTCGCCTGCATAAACGTACCGATAACTCAACCATAAGATAAAGATAACTCCGCCGTTAGGTGATTAATATAATAATAACTCAGCCATAATATGATCAAGATAATGATAACCAGCCGTAATATAATGATAACTCAGCCGTAAGGTGATTAATATAATGATAACTCAGCCATTATGTGATCAAGATAATGAAAACTCAGCTACAAGGTTATTAAGATAATAATAACTCAGCCGCAATGTATTTATACATATGTCTGGCACTGTTAGCTTACCAGAGGACTAGTAACAGACTGGTTTTGTAGAGGTTTCGCTGGACCTTTTGGTGTTGCTTTTTCTTTTTGATTCAGCAAAAGGTCGACTTGCGTCGGCTTTTCGGGAGGTTCTATTTGTTTGAAGGCTGAGTTTACCTCAACGTTTTCACCAGATTTCCCTACTCCCTGCTCAATTGCATTCAGACGCTCTTTCATCTGTTTCAACTCCTTCTCCATATATTCAAACTTTTCATCCATCCTCGCTTCTACTCTATCTCCAATCACCTTCTCCATATTTGAAGACACTTCTTTGATGCTTGTATCAACGGTGTCAAACCTTGAGTTTAATTGCTTCACCAAATCCACGACTGTTTTAACAGACACATCTTCCAGAACATCGTCCTCCGCACTACCAACCTGCAACACATACTCAAAAACGCATAAACAAGCTACCCAAACATTACATCAAATATAAACTCACTACATACCATATCATTTACATTTTCTTCTTTCTTCTTCTTCTTCTTCTTTTGTACATCTCCTTCATAAGATTCACCACCCTCACGTTTTTCCACCAAATCACTTACACCAAATCACGTTTCTTTCTTCTTCTTCTTCTTCTTCTTCTTCTTTTCTGCATCTCCTTCACTAGATTCAACACCCTCACTGTTGATCACATCCTTGACATTGTGGACTTTCTGCCTCTTTGCGGGAGATTCAGAGTCACCCGCTACATTAGAATTTACATTTTTCTTCTTCTTCTCAGTCTTCTTCACATCCCAATAACCTTTAACAAACTTATCCTCATGTATGTCTCGGATCAAATTATCAAGTGCTGGGTCCTCTTCTTCATCTGGCCACGTATGAAATAGCTCTCTGACATCATCCTTCATAACCAATTTACTCACACGCAGCTATAACATTAGAGATTATGAAACCCATTAGTAAGTTTAAACTGAATCATCAATAATTATAACTCAGCCATCACTAACCATCACTAATATAACTCAGCCATCCATAAATCATAACTCAGTCATCAAAAACGATAACTCAGCCATCACAAAATTTAACTCAGCCATTACTAAAATATAACTCAGTCAGTAACTATCATAACTCAGTCATCAAAAACGATAACTCAGCCATCACAAAATATAACTCAGCCATTACTAAAACATAACTCAGTCAGTAACTATCATAACTCAGTCAGTAACTTTCATAACACAGCCAAAACCTTACCTCACCATGCGCTTTGATATCTTCAGCAATGGTCAATTCCATTGTTTTACGTGTACGGTTTCCACCCCAACGAAGCAACGGTATCTCATCCTTGTTGACTACTCTCCCATATCGCTCTCCAAAGCATTTGACTGAATCATGCGCCAAAGCCTGTAACACGTAAACCATACCACTGACGGTGTACGTCTTTCCAACAGGCCTCAACATCTTTATAGAATTAACCAGGGCTTCAAATGCTGACCGACCCCATGGATAAGTGTTCATGGATTCCTCATCAAAAACTCTTTTCGCACTCTCAAATGGTATTCTAGAGTTATGATGCAAGCCATACAGTCCAATGGCTTGAAGAGTCAACAACCCCAACCACTTACGCTTTTCTGGAGTCCAAGTAGTGCACACTAGTAATCCTGCCCTCAGTTCATCTAACTTTGGACCTTCACCACCATGCACATTCAATTCACTGAAGAACGCTTTGTAGTCAGCTTTAGGTTCAAACTTTTCTGTAGGGATTGAACTTGTGTTTAACCCCGTGATATGACCAAATTCGTTCAAGCCAAACCTGATAGGTTGACCACCAACTAGAAACCAAATCTCCTTCTTGTGTATTCTTAACTGTCTACACAGTAGAAAATGTACAGTCTTACCAGACCACACGAATTGGTTTTCAGCTAGCTTAGCAATTATTCCAATAGGTGACCCCTTCAGTTCATTCCACACATCTTGTCCTATTGATTCTATAATCACAGGGACATCTCCCATCTTGATATTGTGATTTAACAATTTATTCTCCAGAATAGACTCCCCTTCTGCGTAAAGTCTTGGAGGGTAATCCCTTGGTTGTTCTTCAAAAATAACCTAAGCCATCTGATAAACCATATATCAGCCGTAAGCATACAGTAACTCAGTCACAACATAAAACAAACTCAGCCACAGTTGAGCAGATAAACCATAACTCAGTCGTAAGCATACAGTAACTCAGCCACAACGTAAAACAAACTCAGCCACACCATAAAACAAACTCAGCCACACCATAAAACAAACTCAGCCATAGATGCATTAATAAATCATAAATCAGTCTAAAGCAAACAATAACTCAGCCATGGAATCGAATAGATATAACAAATTAGCCACCATATGAAAATCAACGTTGGCGACAATCAGCTGTAATAAGCGTCGATAAAAACCCTCAATTTCTTCGCGATAGTTTTCGGAAAATGGTTTCAATCACGGAAATCATTCGCTATTGAACTTAGATGCGGGAAAAATGTCGGAAAATCCATAATAAAGATTCGATACATACCTTAAACAAGTTAGGTTGAGACGAAATGGTCCCGACTTGAGGTGAGGCGACGAAGTAAAAGGTCCCGACTTGAGTAGAGACGAAATGCGACGGGGAGAACGAGAGAGTTAAGAGTTTCGACCGGAATTAGGGTTTCTTAGTCTTAGTCGGAATCGCGTTTCCGTCGGAGAAAGAAAAAGTTTTTTACAGTTTTTTTTTTTTCGGAGATGAACAGTGACAGAGAGGAAAATCGAAAGGGTTCTCTTAATGACGTTAATGACGTGGCTTTAATTTGTTTTTCTTTTAATGACGTGGATTAACATAATTTTCGTTAATCATTTCTTAATTAAAAATGGATTAAAAAAATCTTTATAAAAAAAAACTAATCAAGGGTGTTAATTGTAATTACACAAAGACGCTAAACATATGAGTAATTTTTTAAAAATGTATGATATTCTAGTAATATTCGAAATTTTGGTTAACATCTGAGTAAATATTTCTTCTTTTATTCCCTTGGAAACTAACTCAAAACCAAGTTTACACCATCTCAATCTCTCTAATCTCTCATAAGAAATACCACACTTTGGCATCTCTCTTATATAGACAAAACATATGACCTAATCCTAAACACTTTAGGAATTCTATTAGATAACTCCTAACAGAAATATAACAACTTTAAAACCCTTAAGTCACGTTTCCTCTTATCCAAATAATGACTTATTACTCAAGCCATCTCTTCAAGCTTATCAACAATCTCCCTCTTAAGCTTGAATTCAAATTTTGTCACATCATGAACACCTACAAGATCTCGCAACTCTTTAAACTTGATCCTCCCAAGTGCTTTTGTAAGTATATCCGCCTTTTGTTCTTCTCCGGGAATGTGTTCTACTTCAACCAACTCATTTTGCACACATTCACGGATGAAATGATACTTCTTGTGAATATGTTTGCTTCGACCGTGAAAAACGGGATTCTTAGTAAGTGCTATAGCAGATTTATTATCAATGAGAATCAGTACCCTTTTACTCAGCCCTTCGGTGACCTCCTGTAGAAGTTCCTGCAGCCAAACTGCTTGTTTTGCAGCTTCAGTAGCAGCCATGAACTCTGCTTCGCACGATGAAAGAGCCACTGTTTCTTGCTTTTGTGAACACCAAGTAATCGGACAATCATTGAAGTAAAAGATATGACCTCTAGTGCTCCTACCATCATCTTCATCAACATTGTGACTATTGTCACTAAAGCCTACCAATTCTGAATTGCTCCCACGGCCAAAACAGAGTCCATAAGATCGTGTACCTTGCAAGTATCTGAGTATTTACTTCAAAGCTGCTCCATGAGACTCCTTTGGTTCATGCATGTATCTACTTAAAACTCCAACACAATAAGAAAGATCTGGTCTTGTGTGAAGTAGATACCTAAGACAACCAATGTTCCTTCTATACTCTTTCTCATCTATATTCTTCTCATTCTGAGCTTTACTTACTTTCAAATTTGCACACATTGGTACATGGACCACATTATATTCAGAGAAACCAGTTTCTTCAAGAATTTTGCTTGCATACCTTTCTTGACATAACTTGATACCATCCTTACCTTGAATTACTTCAATTCCTAAGTAATAGGTGAGTTTACCTAGATCACTCATCTCGAATTTCTCAGCCATTCCTTTCTTGAACTCAAGAATCATATGCAGACTAGAGCCAGTAACAAGTAAGTCATCCACATATACTGCCACAACAAGAAGCTCTTCCTTTTCCTTTTTCTGATACAGTGAGGGCTCTTTAGAACATTTCACAAATTTTAATTCAGTAAGAATCTGATTAAGTTTATTGTTTCATGCTCTTGGAGCTTGTTTAAGCCCATAAAGAGCTTTGTGCAACTTGTACACCTTATTCTCTGCTCCCTCTGTAACATAACCTTCAGGCTGACAGACATATACTTCTTCTTTCAATTCCCCATGAAGGAAAGCGGTTTTGATATCAAGGTGATGCACCTCCCAACCATTTGATGCAGCAAGAGCAATAATGAGACGCACTGTTTCTATACGAGCTACTGGAACAAAAACCTCATCATAGTCAATACCATGTCTCTGCACATATCCTTTTGCTACTAATCTAGCTTTATGTTTGTTAATGCTCCCATCAGAATTCCTCTTAACTTTGAACACCCATTTAAGCCCAATCGGCTTTGCTCCAATAGGAAGATCTACTAGATCCCAAGTTCTGTTCTTTGTTATTGAAGAAATCTCCTCATTACAAGCTTCCTTCCATTCTTTTACTTCTTTTGCTTCATTATAGTCTCATGGTTCCTCATTTATTGCAAGAAGAAGACGTTCATACTCGCATTCAGCCAAAAGAATGTAGTCCTTTAGGTAACTTGGTCTAGCAGTCTCTCTCTCAGATCTTCTTAGCCTAGGTTGTGGTTCTTCTGATCTTATGTCATTAGTAGAAACTTCAGTTTGGTCTTCACTAGACTCCTCATCTCTGTCATTACCATTCTCCTCTTGATATGCTCTGCTACCATTCTCACTGTCGTTGTTCTCTGGTTCAGTGTAGATAGTTTCTTCTCTTATCCCATTATTTCCGAATTCTCCTAAACTAAGACTAAACATCCCTGGACTACTATCATTCTCATGATCCTGATTATTCCATTTCCATCCTTTACTTTCATCAAAGACCACATCTCTGTTCACCACAATTTTTCTCTTTGTAAGATCCAACAATCTATAAGCCTTTGATCCTAGTTCAGTTCCTAGGTGAACTAACATTCTTGAACGATCATCAAGCTTTCTCAAGTGTGTAGCTTCTGCTTTAGCATACCCAATACAGCAAATGTTCAATGTTTGGCTTTTTCTTCCAGAAAGCTTCATATGGAGTTTGGTTCAATAAAGTTCTTGTTGACACTCTATTGATGAGATATGTGGCGTTTCTTACTGCTTCCCCCTATAGGTAATTCGGTACACTCATGTGTTTCAAGATACTTCGTGTCATGCCCATTAGTGTTCTGTTTCGTCGTTCCACTACACCATTTTGTTGTGGTGAATATAGTGCTGTTAAGTGTCTCTTAATACCGGCTAAGTCACAAAACATAGTAAATTCTTGAGAAACAAACTCTCCTCTCCTGTCTGTTCTGAATGTCTTAATGGTAGCACCAGATTCCTTCTCAATGCAGCTTTTAAAGATTTTGAATTTCTGAAATGCCTCATTTTTTTCTTTCAGAAGGATTGACCACATATAGCATGAATAGTCGTCGATTAGAACAAAAACATACTTGTTTTGTGCTGCTGTAGCGGGTGTAATGGGACCACAGAGATCCCCATGAATGAGTTCAAGTATGCTTGATGCTCTAAACATTGTTGCTTGAGGGAAAGTTTTTCTAACTTGCTTTCCCAATAAGCATGATCCACAAACTTCCTTTTCAATCTCAAACTGTGGAAAACCAGTAACTAGTTCCTTTTGCATCATACTCTTCATGTTGTCTACTCCAATATGTCCTAATCTCGCGTGCCAAATTTTTGATTTATTAGACACCATAAGTTGCAGACATTTTGAACTTTCAACTACCAAGATTACTTTGTAAAGCCGGTTTTGAGATCTTATTGCTTTCACTAGAAGCTTACCCTCTTTATCATACAGAGTCAGATAATCTTCTTTCATTCTGATATCACATCCAGCCTCAGTAGTCTGTCCAAGACTTACAATGTTACTTTTCAAGTTAGGAATGTAGTAGACATCAGGTAAGGATCTTCTTTCTCCATTCTTGGCTATGAATGTGATTAAGCCCTTTCCTTTTATGTCAATCCGAGAGTCATCACCAAATCTTACCTTTCCTGTGATAGTTTGATCAAGACTTGAAAAATACTGCAAGTGTCCTGTCATGTGGTTGCTTGCCCCATTGTCCAAATACCACATGTTTTCAACATCCAGACTTGTCTCAAAGTTGCTAGGCATTACATTCTTTTCATTGAGAAACACTACTTCATGCATCATCAATGCATCTGCTTGTTGTGTATCCTCAGTCTTAACTTCTTGTGTTTCTTGTAATTTTAACAATCTATCGGGACAATCTGAAGCATAATGGCCTAGTTTATCACATCTATAACAATTGATCTTACTTGTATCTCTAAATCCTCCATTACTCTGTGAGTTACCATAGCGTCCTCGTCCTCTTCCTCTTCCATAGAACCGTCCTCCCTGTCCTCTTCCTCTGTTTGCAGACAAACTTGCTTGAGAGTCAGAGTTAACATACAAAAGTTTACCTTGATCATCTTGATTGTCTTCATCGTCACAGATTCTCTCCTCATATGCTTTTAGCCTTCCAACAATGTCCTTAAAACTTGTTGCATTAAGATCAAGAACTTGTTCAAGTGCAGCGATGATATGTATGTATTTCTTCCTAGGTAAACTATTTAGAAACTTTTTGACAAGCTTTGGTTCTTTGAAATTATGTCCAAGTGCTGCTGCTTTTGTAGATAATTCAGATAACTTTCCTGCAAAGTCATCGATCTTGTCAGTTTATTTCATCTTTATTCTCTCAAATTCTCCCATTAGGGTTTGTAATCTTGCATCCTTAACCCTATCAGCTCCTAGATGTCTGGCTTGAATCGCATCCCATATTTTCTTAGCAGTGTTTAGTTTTCCTACTTGTAACGTTAGGGCTTCAGGAATGGATTGAAGAAGAAGAGCACTTGCCATGTTGTTTTTGTCGATGTCCTCTGATCCGGGTTCAATAGAATCCCATACTTTGTGAACATTGAGTGCCATCGTCATATGTATGGTCCAGAACGTGTAGTTTGTAGGGTTTAGTATCGGACATTGAATGGCTGAGGAACCACCGCCTTCTTTATTGTTAGCTACTGGGATCAAATCTCCCATGTTGTCTCACGGATCACCTTCTTGTGATCGTACTCTGTTTTCAACTCGTGATCGTGCGCTCTGATACCAATTGAAGTATCAAACTCTTTGAGAAAGAAGAAGATTATGTTGAT